GTCTTTCTCTTCTCAATAAGCAGCGTAAAAAGTCTTTCTTGCGGAAAATTGTTACGGGCGATGAGAAGTGGATACTCTATGACAATCTGAAACGCAGAAAGTCATGGATAAATGCCGGCGGACCATCAACATCGGTTGCAAAGCCAAAACACTTCGAAAAGAAGATTCTGCTCTGCATCTGATGGGATATATGAAGGGCGTGATTTATTATGAGCTATTAAAACCGAGTGAAAAACAATTACTGCGGACCGCTACCAACACCAATTAATTCATTTGAGTCAAGAATTAGAACGAAAACGCCCGTATAGTGGCGAAAGAGAACGTCCTGTGAAATTGTTGCATGACAACAATGTGCCAGGCCATACATTGCTTCTACGACAAAAGACATCATAATGAGTCTTGGCTGGGATCTCTTGCAGCACCCGGCATATTCATCAGACATCGCTACCGACTACCACTTCACTGCAAACCCGAGTGTGTTATTTTGACGCGTATAAGCCGAAGCTTCCTTTACGCGTATTTCGTCGTCTTAAATCACGTCGTTTAACGCGTTAAGGGGGAAACCTGGTTTATAGGGTCTAGATTTTCGAATTTTTTTTTTTGCTTAATCGATAGTTAAACTATTCAAGAATATACTCCCAAAGTTTCAGAGCCCAATTCAAAGTATTTTAAAAGTTATAGAATACATGGTGAGTCAGCGTCGCGCAAGTATACGAGCGCTCGGCCGGAGTGAGCCGCGCGCTCACCTGATACAGATACGTGCTATATGCCGGCACGATATTTGATTACACATTCCTATAGATTGTCACGTAGGTGTATGAGTGTATGCGTGTCTATGTGTGTGTGTGTGTGTGTGTACGTGTGTATAGTTTATAGTTTCAACGATCAGTCTTGCTCTGATTCTCGGCGAGTAAAGAGTTTCTATTTAGCAAAAGTCGTTTGACAGTTTTAAATATGTATCCAAAAGGCTCAAGAAGTACTTCGCAGCGCATTTCGAAACCGCCGAAAAGAAGATTTCGTGGCAACCAGCATTCCAAGAATGAAAGTGATAATTTAGACGAGAGCATCAGTGCGAAAAAATTAAGTACAGCGGGTACTGATAATATTATTATGAATCCATTACATTATTATAGAATCATAGAAAAAGAAAAACTTATAAGTCCATTTTGACTTTGAATCCGTATGGCGAAGATTGCCCCGTAAAAAAAAGTGAGTGCGTCGGACACGTTCAGAAGCGGATGGGGACGCGGCTTCGAAATATAAAAAAAAAGGAGAAGCTTGGCGCGGCAAGGGGAGATTGACCGATCTCGTCATAAAAAAATTAACCACTTACTGCGGTTTAGCCATAAGACGAAATGTAGATTCTGTGGGTGATATGAAAAGAAGCATAATGGCAACACTCTACTACTATTGCTCGACCGAAATGAAAAGCCGAAACATGGAAATTGCTCCGCAGGCGCCGACAGTTGGTGCGAGTGGCGCAAAGCTGAAGCCGCCGGTCAACTCGTAAACTATAAACATCCTGCTCCAGTTATAAAGCCTGATATTGAGAAACACCTTACTTCGATCTATGAAGATCTTTCCAATGAAGATCTTTTGACTAGATGTTTAGGCGGGCACACACAAAACTCCAACGAATCCTTCAATTCGACTGTGTGGCGTATCGCTCCCAAACACCTCAATTCGGGCTTCAAAATTGTTCAAATCGCTGCATATTTGGCTACTGGCATCTTCAATGAAGGCTACACTGCCATTTTATTAACAATGCAGTTATTAGAAATCAATATCGGCCAGCAATGCAAAATGTTCGCTGATAATTACGATGCGCAGCGAGTTACGAGAGGGGAGCGGCGCCGAAGCAGCACGACCGAGGAAGCTCGCACAGCTCGTAGACTGGAGCAAATGCAACGAAACGAGTTTTATGAAGAAGCTGAAGGCTTGCAGTATGGCCCTGGTATAGCTGATTAGCATAAGATTGCGGTAAGTCTCCAATAAATGATATTTTTTTGTACCACAAACTTTAAACGCGTTTTTCTCGAAATATCATTTTCGTACTTTCTTAAAATCTGCGGGAAAGATAGAGAAAAAATTACTAATTGATCAATCGACTTGATTCAAAGTGCGTTAGCTAGAGAATGAACAACCATTCTATGTGAACCTCAAACATTGGTAAAAACATTAATTTAAATAATTGTTATTGCATAAAACGGAGGAAATTTTTTCTCAAAACTGTCATCTTTTTGTTCAAGTGCTAAAAAGTTTTGTATTTTACGGTTTTTCAACCATGTTGTTGGTTCACATAGAATAAAAATACATGAAAATTAATAATCTTTTTGGTTTTTTTGTTTCAGATCAAAATTGCAGGCTACATTTTTCACGCAGATTGGCAACTCGGTTGGCGAGGCGCTTTGATTAGAGATACACCATGGCGCCATTTTGCAATTATTTTACAATATAAAAATTTTTTTTACATCTTCAAATAGGCAGTTAAATATTATAAAAGTTTTAGGAACCTCAACTGCATCATTGTCAATAAAAAAAATTCATAAAAATCTCCTTTTTTTAGCCTCTTAAACCAGGTTCCCCCCTTAAGTGATATCGAAATGCATCGAATGACGTGATTTCAGACGACAAGAAAAACGCGTGAAGAAAGCTTCAGCTTATACGTGTCAAAATAACACACTCGGGTTTGCAGTGTTGTTCCGATTGATGCATGCCTTGTCCGATACACACATCAAATTAGTGGATGAAATCCGAAAATGACTTGACGACTTTATCGTGTCCAAAGACACAACATTTTTCCGACATGGAATTCATCAGCTGCCTGAAAAACGGCTTCAAGTTGCAGAGAACAACGGCGAATACTTTGATTGACAAATTTATTTTACTTTCTTTTAAAATAAACCTTGAATTTAACTGAAAAATTTGGATTGTTTATTTGTACACCCAATATATATGCTGTACAATGTCGCGCCGAGCGATTCGCTGATAAATTAGCCCCAATTAGTTATTGAGCAACATATGCCTGCAGTTTTCCAAGCGCGCCGGCAGATACAGATGCAGCCGTGAGAGCCGTAAACTCGCCGCATTCGTTTTGACGAGTGCGTCCGCCTTTATTCTTAACCGGGCTTAACGTAACCTACTTTCCAGCGACGCAAGCCCGGCCTGCTCGCAATTAGTAAGCTGAACTGCATTTCACGAGTTTCGGCGACGTTGCGTCTCTTGAGGAAGGAATCTCTCGAAATACAAGATCCCCTCGTGTCTCTCGTTACGCCATCGACGCGCGCGCGCGAGAGAGAGAGAGAGAGAGAGACGTCGCCCTGAACGTGAATTTTATCCCATGGTTTCTTTGAACTTGGCGATTGCTTTCGAGAATTCCGCCGGCAAACGTAGCCACGGATCGCGGTGACCTTTAATCTTCCATTAATGAAAGCTATCACGTTATAAAGCTTCATACGACTCGACGGAGTAGACAACTAAGCTTAGTTAAATTAAAATAAGTTAAACTGGAAGTAACTCTAAATCAACTTAGACCGCGATTTTAATTGAGAAGTGAGCTCGCTTTGAAAAGATTAGCGAGTGACTTTGCTTAATTGGGAGAAGTAATTAAAAGTTCATTTCTATTTAAATGTCGTCGACAAAACGATAGATATTAGAATTTAAACGAACTCGGCGAGCATCTTGGTCCAAGGTTAAATATATTTCGACATAATTTATATAATGACACATTCGTTTGACGGTATTGTTGAATCAACAATGTGAAGATACTCTACTTTGTTGTTGAATTTTCCAGACTTTACCGATAATTCGCGAGAACGACCAATAGATTCTTTATTTGGCGTTGATGTTTTTTCACATCGAAACGATCTCGAGAAAGCATTCCCTTGTATCGGGAAGAAGTCATCTTAAAAAGTTATTAAAAATCTTCGAAAATTATTACGTCGGAATTTTGCTTGGAAATATGTTTGATTTTTGGTTTTTCAAATTCGCGTTCTTCCCGACTTCATAACCGTACGTAAATTGGAAATATTTGCATACAGTATTGCAATATTTCGAACTCGTCGTAAAATGGACCGATTGTGACGGTTTCCCTTTCCGGGGAAGTTATGGAGAGGAGTGTTCTTTCAATAAAAATGGAGGTGAAGCCCCCTAGGGGCTTGTGCGAATCCATGAAATACGACTTGATTAATTACCAACGATTCCAACGAAACGCGTCTCCGAAGGTGACGGCTTCAGCTCGAGTTTGACGAAATTTAATCAATTTGAAAACGGAGAATATTTACCCGTTTTTATACCGCGACCGTTGGGGTTTTGGTTACAGCGAAATTAATATGCATGATCTCAATCAATCTCCAGCATCACTTTCGCAATATTCTGCGTGTGAGTCCGTCACAGTAACTCTGCCGCAAAATTAAAAAACGTTATCAATATATCGCAGATTTGAATATGTGGAACGTGATTCTGATTTTATCAATTCTTTTCTCATTTCGACATGAAGACTACTAATCGCGAATATCATATTCGGTAACATTAAACAATTAAACAATTAGATTTCAATCAAATCTACAATCGAATGTACGAAGTAAATATATATAATCATTATTTGATTATAATCATCTCCAGAGAAATTCTTTTCCTTTTGGTCTCAGTCTACGAAATTCCAAATCACAATACAAGCTATAATAGCTAAATCTTTAAAAAATTCTAAACAAAAAACAACCGATGGGATAAAAAGATAAATTAAAGCAAAGATATATTAGTACACTCTAAAAAAAAGTAATGGCGTTTGTCGTTCGCAGAAGTTGAAGACCGACAAACTTTAAGGACTCTCAAAACAGCTACGAACAAATTCCTCACGAGCGAGTCAGCCGATGTAGCCTGTTTGATTAGGTCGCAATTTTTCTAGGCTTTCCATTAAAATCTCGTCTGATATCCGCGGTGGCACATGCGCGGATAACGAGGCGCGCGAGGTAGCCGCGTTTTCGGTCAGTCGGCCGAGAGCCGCCGAGGAAGTTGAATGTAACACGTAGATTTCGGTCGGCTACGACACACGCACGAGGTCTCTCCTCATCGACCATTGTCGAGGGTGGATGGAAGTAATCGCGTCGTCGTCGCGCGAAAAACGTCGCGCCTCTTTGTGTTCTCGCAGAATGCATTGATCGTCGCAAGAAACAGCAACGTTCGACGAATCTGCGTCACGTTGACCGAACGGATAGTTCGGCAATTTCATTCGGATTACACTTCCGACAAAGGAGACAGAGAGAGAGAGAGAGAGGCATAATTCCTGGAATTTTTTCACGCGGAAAATTTGCATGTGAAAGTGGGGCGTCGCATGAGCCAGTGATTAATCGCAAGTCGAAACGAAAAAGGGCCCAGCTTTGGAAGTTTGGCCGTGCTGAGGGATCTCCGAAGAGAACGCGGACGTGACTCGAATCTCGATAGAGTCTCGAGAACGACGAACTTGGAGTGAATTTCCAGCTGGGCGTCCGCGTGGTGCTGGTGACAGGGAGAAATCGGTCTTTAAGTATCTCCGGCAAACACCGGGATCATAAAAAGACAAGAGAGCGAGAGAGAAAGTGGCCAGCTGACTGAGAGGTTACATTTAATAATAATACGACGGCGTTTCGGCGCCTAACGCCGTTCTTCGCAAGGACCTCTCGCACCCCCGTGTGAATACACGGTTCACTGACAATCTCTCATTCGCCCGCGACGAATAAGCGCGAGAGCAAGCGACTTCTTCGCTGAGACTGTCGGGCTGCGATTTTTCCAAAACGACGGCTACGTACGCGATTAAAGTTGAGAAATATAGCCGAGCTCGAGACGGAGAAGCGTGCCTCCTTCGTGCAAGACGTGGGCGAGGGCGAGGGGGATCAGCGGGGGGGGGATCTCGCGGAGGGTCCGTGAAGGATTTTGCGTCGATGTGTCCAAGTATTTACCGCGCTCGCATGTGAAGCGCGACGCGTCCGACCGCCGAGTATCTTTGACTTAGTGTCGGTCACAAGTTAGTGCGCACTCGGGGTTGATGCTCGTGTCTCCCCGAGTAGAACGCCGTGGAGGATACGCGGGCTTAGCCGAGCATGAACAACGGGAGACCGGACGTTCCGCAAGCAGCAGCCGGGACTTATTTTCACAGGGCTCGCGCGTCACGAGGATTTCGCGTTCCTGCGAATTAATTGCCAGGTACGTTAATTGGCCGGCGTCGGACAACAACGGCGAATCGCATTGTTGGCACTCGGCCTCGAGCGGCAAGCGGGGCCGTGTTTCGCCCCGCAAATCGCAAATCGGCGTAAATTCAACGAAACGTGGGTATGACTGATCACACCGCGACTGACGTCGCGGCGATGTCAAAGTCAGCATTAATTAAGCCAAGTCAACCGCAATTTGCAGTTTACCGTTGTTTCGCCCGCGACGTGTGCCGCAATGTGTCCGTTAATACGCTCCGCCGTCGGCGCGTATTGTTTATTCAGGAGGCTACATTGTCGATGGATCGTATCTGGAAATCGAGTGACAGTAATCTGCGATTGGAAGGAGGAGGACCGACGTGAAAAATAGAACGGACGGTTGTATTTCTAGAATCGAAGTATTTCGATTTACCAATTTGTAACATTTGAATGATTACGCGTTCCTCGCTCTTCGTCGGACTAAATTACATATCGGTTCTCGTTGAAGCCGAAGATAAACGAATCGGGGCACGCTAAAGACGTGCAATTGTTCGCTCTCTAAAAGTACAGAGCGCCCCCGCATCATTACGTGTCTCCCGTAATTTATCACATTCGTCTGCTACTTGGCCATTGTCGAAATCGCGGGCAAAGGGATCGATAGAATAATCGATTAGCCCGGCCGCTTTGAGAGACGATAAAGCCAAAGAGACGTCGAATCATTTGCGCCCGGAAACGCTGCGGCGGCGGCGGCGGCGGCGGCGGACGGGCTTCGCATTCAAGGGACCTTACATTCGGCTCGTTATCCAAAAATTCCGCCAATTGTGCGAGTCCGTCGCTCGCATTTCCCGCGTGACGTATCGGCTTTCGATAGCCGTTCTACTCGCGACTGCGAAGTCTATTCGCGCACCTGCGTCACACGCCCGCCGCTTAACCTTTCAACGCCCGACTTTTTTATCAGGGTTTTAAGAATAAAATTTGAGTTTCTTTGAACCGAGACTATAAGTAGTGACCAACCAAAAAAAATATCAGAATTTTACATGTACGGGAAACAACCTTTCCGAGCAAAAACTACTCCCAGAAGCGAAAAATACGCCTGATCGCCTGAAATTTTTTCTTTAGTTTTAATAATTTTATATCATACCTAATGGTTGGAAAAATTCCTCGAAACATAAAACTCATATTCAGAACTCGATCTTTATTTACCCGGAATGGAATATAATAAATGAGTACATGAAGTTTCCGCCTTTCGTTTGTTGGTTTCGTTAGTTTGGTTTCTTTATCGTTCGTTTTTTGTTTATTGGTAAATATGACTTGGATCCTAAAACTATATACGAAATGA